ACTCATAAAGTATAGGTATACCCGTTACAGAATTGTGATGCAACTATAGTACACACTAGTCTCCAGGTTCATTTGCCAGTATGCCTGCTTGCCCAGCCTCAGCGGCTAATAATCACCTACAGTAGTATGTAGTGTTCAACATGACTCCACAGTAGACCAGGCTTATCATTTCCTCCCTGCTGGTACATAGCAGGTTCTCTACCGACAGTCACGACACATTTGGCGAAAGACCCAGGTCCCATTTAAGGGAGTATTGAGATGTTTCCAAGCGGCCTAGAGCATGATTGATGCCGTGAAAGAAGACAAGTGTACAACACGATGTAAACATTTCAAGCACTCATTGCTTCAGCGCCTATTTTGATCGTGAATCCCTTAAACGCTGGGTGGCTTATGCATGGCGCTTGACTGTGCCGTCAGATCTTAGCTGTTGTGAAATGTTACTTTCCGCTACGGATTAGAAGCCGACGCGGGGAGATCTCGATAAAAAATTTTCTTACGCAATACAGGGCCTTAGTAGTCATCAGAAGTGAAAAGGGCATGCCACGTCACTGCAGAATTTTTTTCCAAATGAACCGCATCGAGAGATCCCACGGTGCCACACCTACAAAGTAATGGCTGTGTAGTTTTTCTACAACGATAAAATTTGCGGCCGCCTTCTACTTATCGCGTTAGCTGCACATGCACCTCAAATAGGCTCCGTCGCGGTCCTAAAACACGATAAGATTATGTGAATGGTCGAGGTCCCTGCTTATGCTGTGTGATGACGAAGGGGAGTCTATCTAGCTTCTATGTCGGATACCCGACCTAGCTTAGTATGGTTTTCGCTTCTAGACCAGTCCTCATTAAATTCCTGCACCCGAGATGAGTGGAAGCTATCTACGCCCGTAGTATATGTAAAGATAGGCACGCAGAACAGGATCACGAGTAGTACGATAGATCGGGAAAAATCAAATATCCTCAGCAGAGGCTCCCACCGCCCACCAAAGCGGTAGGGCCGAGAAGATTATACCATCTTCTATAGAGTGTAGTGTATACTACAGTTTACTTAGATACAGTGTAGTGTATATAGTGTTGCTTGCTTATGCAAGGGCCAGTTGGTGCAGCTTCCAAAGGAATTGAAAAACTACCATGTGAACTATCCACCCATCTAGAGCTGCAAGTTTGTGCAAAACATTGCACCCGAACCGCCAAGCCAAACTACACTTTCGCAACTGGCTAGACCACGCAGGTAAAACTGAGACTTACCAAATGAGAGAACATGCAGGCAGCCAGGCAGAGGTAGCATACCTATGTACATTTGCTAATGTCAGAACTGCCAAGAGCCACAACGCCTCACTTCTAGAACCGTAATGTACAAACAAGAGTTGATCTCGCCAGCCACCACATTAACTCAAGCGCTAAACTATAGTAGACAGAGACCACATCAGTACTAGGTACGTATCATGATATTTTGCGCATGAGATCATTTTGGAGTGGCAATGGCAGACAGCAAGGCGGAGACTAATCGCGGAATTAGATCTATCGGTAGTCGACATCAAATTCAACCCCAACGACAGCTAGAAGAGGAAACCTAGGTGCCACATATTCATTCCACTTGGCTATCGCTTGGTGGTTCGCATCCAGATCTACCCTTCCCAGGGGGTTTTTTTTTTGGCTCTAGTCCGTATCTTTCTAACCCGGCTTTAGGGTCGCAACTATGGAATGTCATGGTAGTCTTTGGAGCTGACGTTAGTAGCGTAAAGATCATCGAGTGCTCATTACAGTTACAGTCACACGACCCTGCCGGCTCGGATCCGAGTCCAACCTATAAGGTGAAGGTCTCGGCCGGATGGTCTAATCTCAATAATGAATCTGTGGGTCACTCGTGAAGAACTAACTACAGGACTGCGGAAATAAAGACCCTTAGCTAATACAGACCTACGCACTGATAGAAACTACACCTTAGGGTAGAGATCGGTGTACGAGGTGCTGCTTGGCTGGTACAGGGCTTGGAGAGGTTACATCTGTCCCTCCATGATCGAAAGTTCAACAACTTGAGCGCGCCAAAAAGCCAAGATTTTTAATATTGACGCGACCACCTGCGCCTGCACTCCTCAAACGCCGAACACCAAACAAAAGTTTGATTTAAGCATGACATCGATTGATCGCCACAATGTTTCTAGGCCGTTCCTCAAGGCAGGGGTTTTCTGCGCATTGAAGAACTAAGTACTAAAGAGGAAACGAACATCTTTACCCATTACATCACTTCTGGTGTTTAACAGGTTAACTCGCTTACCTTGAAGTGTCCTGTTATACAGACTGAGAGTTCCCCCTCAACCTACACTAGACAGTGTATGTAAGGTATATATTAGTGCTGTATCTTGCATGCACACCAAATTGCCGGGTAACGATGGGTCTAACGGATAGTTTTTCTCCGCTCATGATCTGCACTAAATGTAGCGGTGTTCGCTGTCGGTTCCAGGCACACGCTAGACTCAGCGGAGAGTTTTAACCCCGATCGGCCCATAGGTTGCGGTGATACAGAGGCATATGGTACAGGCATTTCAACAAATCCACTTGGATTAGCGGTGTTATATTTTTCTCTTGGATGAGATTTGGCCCAGACCTTGGGTATCTGACCTGATAGACTCGTACGGCCCGTATGGTTGCCGACACCCGAGACGTGAGACGAAATCAACATGAGTCTAGATCCAAGGGAAGACAAAGGCAACTCGAGAGTCTGCATAACAGGCCGCGAACTCCCCAGCTTGTTGGGAAGTTCGCATCATTCAAATGGATCGTCTAAATTGCATTAGTCGTTTTAGTTTGACGCGCTAAGGTAGGTACTTTCTCTGCAAGTGGTGGTGCAATGCCAGGCACACGAATTTCAGACTCCACCAGGTATACTAATACCTAGGTATACCACGGTATTTGCGTTGGCTTTGCTTCTCAAGTCCTGTAGATACGGTACGGTCCAAGGCTGTCAAAGAGGCGGTGGGACGAGCCAAGTAGCATGGAGCATATGCACATGCAAGTCAAGCATCTATCAATGTAATAGCGGTTCGTTTAAAAATTCATGCCAGGTATGTAAATTCCTCGAGAAATCATAATTTATACGACCTTAATTAAGGGACGCAAGTCCCACTCCCTTACAATACTCTCTTTGGTGTACCTACATTACACTACTGCGTAGGTTGGTGTGTAAAGATATTATCACCCAGACACTGCCTGCCTGACAGGGGCCCAAGCAAGCTTTTTTTGCATTTCTACGCCATCCTTGTCCGGTTGTGGGATGACTTAAAACATTCTCTGATGAAAGAATGAAAAAATGACGGTTTCTGCCGTCCATGAAGGGAGAAACCAGCCTGCCAAGATTGCCAATGTACATACACCACAGAGCCCGCCATTCGATACCACATTGATCAACCGTAGATCACATGAATCGGTTTGATCTACGCTAGGTTATTGAGTATGCCAGCGGTCAGCCGACGTTGATGATGGGTTCAGTTTAGTGTACAGATCTGTACCGAATACTACAAGCTACACTATGTCGCCTAGACTACCAAGGTAGTTAGCCGCGTCCAGGCAACACAATCTATAGCTGTAGCATTAAGTACTTAATGATCACGAAAACCATGACATACACTAACTTAGGTAGTATCATTGATCATACGAGCCGATATAGGAGTTAACCTACATACTACACCATAGTTTTAGTGGATGGCCAAAAAACGGGGTACATACATAGTATGCATGACGCTTATCTGTCAACTACTCGTCAGTTTCTTCTGTTTTGTCCCGTGTGGATGGATGGATCCCCAAATACCCCTGTTCCAGCCCGCCGCATTACCTGGTACTACACTAGTGCCACTTTATACTAGAACAATTATATCTTCGAGGGTAGTACCTATGTTCAACGCTAGGTATCTTCCGCCCCGGCTTTAAAGCTTCAGCGGCAGATTGGACAAGTATCGTAAGATCTATCAAAGCACCGAAGGGATGCAGTACGATGTGGTCTTAGTTCAATCAAGTCAGAGAGAATTACATAGCATTGCGCTAGTGAGCTGACCAGCCAGGACGCGCGCGCAATTAGCGAACTCCAATTGCACACCAGGAGCCCACAAAGCTCCTTAGTGTAGTGTAGTAGTGTGTGTGATCGGAGATAAAACACTTTGTACAATCGGCAACACCGTACTACAATTACAGTTGTGCCCATCTTTCAGCACACACCAATAACGTATTCCTGGTTGATAAGCTCGTTCAATCTACTCACTAGAACAAATCCGAAGAGCGCATTGTGGTCTTCCCAACTATTAGATTAGCCAAGAGTGTCCTAGACTTCGCAAGAGCCCCAATATTCGGCCAGCTGAGCAGAAGTCCTAATGCATCCCCATCATCCATGGATTAATAATCAGTCAGAAGATTAGGCAGCGGTGGCTTAGATGGAAGAAAAATTAGAAGAGTTTAACAACACAACACATCATGCGCGAGTAGAGAAAACGGCTTAATTTCTCGTCGTCTTAATTTAAAAGAGTAGGCGAGTTTTAGAAGTACCTATGTTGTTACTTACCAATGCTATTACCTTCCCCTCACGATATGACGTACTGGTCGCCTTAATAGAAACTGACTGCCTAATAATCATTAACGCGCTGCAAAATTGATACGGAATACATACGAACTATTAAAGCCTCTTGATTTTCAATTATAATAGGCAGAATGCAATGACTACAAAACATTTTCATAAAATAACAAGAATATTCTTTGTTTAATTAATACTTAATAATATTAAAGCGCCATAATGATAAGGACACTTAAATAGCCTGCTAACTAATCGTGAGATGAAGCCTTGGTCTACCTATCTATCCTGCTTGCCTACCTTTGGAGGATATTGCCAATGACGGCGCACCTTTATAATGAGACGCCATTTAAGTCTAACTTCTCAATATAACTAACAGTCACTCATGCGAATGTGAATGAGCACATAATAAAGGAAGAATTGAAAATAAAAATCGATAAAAAGTTGTCCCCAGTGAGGCTCGAACTCACGACCTCTGGATATCCCAGTCTATGACTGGATCATATTATATCAATATGAGACCAACGCGCTAGCCAACTGCGCCACGAAGACTTCCCTCAGATCTCACGATCACGGGAGATGGGTCTGGCCGGGGATTGAACCGGGACCTCTCGCATATTTGCTTCGGGTGTACCCTAAGCGAGAATCATACCACTAGACCACCAGACCACCCAATCAGATGGTAGAAGACGATGAAAGGTCGCCTCATGTACCTGACTCAGGTTACAGAAGAGACGTGTTCTATCCGAGATCCTCTAGTGCTTCAAGGTCCCCGAGGATCGTCTGAACAGCGACCGATACCAAATCGGGCGCGAAGGGGGAGGTGAAGTTGGTTTGTATTAGTTTAAGGAGATCTTTATCGGAATCAGAGAGACCTCGGTAGTATAGCCACGGCAGATAGTTCATGATACTTTATCCTGTTATAGAAGAAGAGTAAAGAAGGGAGTATATCCTAGTGTCAGCCACATAGTTGATTGAACCTATCTTGCTTTGATCTCTCCTTCAATTTACGGCTTTCTACATATTGCCAATCGCGGGATAACGGCCCAAGTTCGGCGTGTGTGGCACACAACTCCTACGTTCGTGAGATATAGGTCACGATCCCCATCCCACCTAGCAGTCGTCTCGCAGCTAGTGTTGTTGAAATTCCATTATAGGCGCTTATTTTCGTTTCGGCTCTCTTATTCATTAGACTCCTCGATTCTTTGATCGAGTTTCACGATGTTCTAAGTTGTATTACACGCATACTTCATAGTAGAATCCGGGACGAAGTTAAAATGGAGTTAAGTCGGGTTGATGCTAGGCCGATCGATAGATATGCCATAATGCCCCATGAAGAAAGTTTCAGGTCTTGGTTCATCTGCGCTGAGTCACTACCAACAGCGCGTAGGTCCTCATGTACTGTACCCTTCAAGCGGTTGATAAGACTCGTGCAATTACACTGTTGTATTGAGGTTTGCCCATAGGAAAAGAACATCCAATTGTACGAATTTGTTGTTCACCATAGCAAAGTGGGAACCCCTGGAAAGCTTTGTAAGGACTTCTGAGCAATAGCTAGTATCGTTTCATCGCGGTCTGACGTGCTCTGAGGCACAGGGATTGATATGCTCACCACTATCTGGAGTAGAGATTTGTGATGTGCTTGGGTGTCTCACTATTGTATAAAAATGATGGATAGGCAGAAAAAAACTTATCGTATTAACATTTCCAAGATTTTAATGTACAACCAGTCCCCTACGAGCTATAAACGAAGTAGTATTAATTTATAACTTGTAAAATATGGTAGCATCGCATTTATATGAGTCATTAGTATAGCCTTTACCTTAAATTAGAACAGACTGATAGAATAGTTCACAGGGTACAATGTAGCGGATTAATGGCAATCATTCGGTGCGCGGGACCCTTTGTTCGTCTGTATCAAATATCTGAACTTAGAGGAATGCATATCCCAATCACTGATATCTTAAATGGACGGTTGACACTAGCAAGCCTGTAAGAATGTCCTCTGAGTTTTTATATGTAATGCGCGTTAGCTATAATAGGCCGAGGGAGAAGTCATCGAATGAGGTCACATGAGAAGTAAATAAGAACACCTCATCCGCAGCATCAAGAATAAATATTGCTTGCGTACCCCATCGGAACCTTCCCTGCTGAGAATGCTGAAATCTACGTTGCAGATGTTGGTGCAGGTACAGGGTGAGTCAGGCTTGTCAACCTTCGGAAGACTTGTGATTGTCGCTGATTCATCGTCCCAGAGCCTAGCTTCGCGACATCAGCGAGAGGCTCCTGAAGACAGCCCATCTATATGGCATAGATATATCCTTCGATACGATGCCATCCCCGGAAATCCTGCCTTCTAATGCGACTCTCCGAAACTAGAACGCACGAACCCCTGTCCCTGAGGATCTCGTTGGTATCTTCGACATTATTCAAATCCGATTCTTCTTTGTTTTTTTGAGAGATGAAGTGTCATCGGTTGTTGGCAAGCTTGTCGAGATACTAGGCATGCTTTCTCTTCATATAAAAGTCACTTCCTCGACGTGCACAAGGGTTTGTCTGTCACGGCCGGCTGGCCAAAGCCGTCTGCTCGTTTATCCAGCGGCATCGTTTCCCTCGTATCCTACTATAACATAAGTGAGGGCGAAACTAAAATAATGAAAACAAGCTAATCGTACACCACTCTACAGAACCTGGTGGATATCTCTAATGGGTTGATTCTGACAACCATAGCATACGCTTTGGTAAGACGAAGTCTGAGAATACAACTGAGCACCTTATTAGCCCAATGGACCTACTCGAATCTCAAAGTACACGGCTGAAGCTAGACTGGGTCCTACATATACCCCGGTTCTTTGAAAATGGCCTGGTATATGTGGAGGCGGATCGACAGGACACTCTACCTCATCTTACTTCTATGATGCACGATAGTGGTTTGATAATGCACGAACTCATAGCACAGAAGACACAGAATGAAGAGATGGCGGCTGAGAGAGCTGTTGCCTCTTGCCGTTGGTGAGACGTGGAAAGTGGCTTACATCACTACTGACCGCCATACAGTCTTAAATCGAGCACTTGGCCACCTGTACCTGTTACATACAACTACTATGACAAAAAATATATGGAAAGAAAGGATAAGTAACATTCTGCTCTAAGTTCTGCTATACACTGAGTTTCTGCTTGAAGAGTATCACGACTTAGGACAAGGAACATACGTATATAGCTAGATATTAGTTTATGAAGGTGTTTAGATCTTCGCGCAACAGCAAGAGGCAATACTTCTCCCATACCAGAGATCCTGAAGAGGAGCGGGAAAACTTGGGGCTAATTAAGCATCAGTCTTGGGGTGTGGGCGTAAGTGAATTTGTTGTTAGGCAGCTTCGCAGGTTTCCAATGGCGCTCTAGGTAGTATTCCGAGTTTACATGCAGACAGGCTGTTTACAAGGATGTCTACATGACACCCAACAGGATTGAAAAGTTGGGTTGCAATATATTACTGTTCCTAGGATGATTGCGCACATCACCGTTCCCTAATCTCGCCGATTGTTACTGGTGGCAACGCGTTGAGCTTCAAACTCAGCGAGCTGTAAATGCTTGTGGCCTTCCAGATTAGGATATATGGTACACAGTTCTTTTCCGTTGGATGACACATTGTTAGGCTAGTACTATTGATATGTAGAAGATGCCAAGGAGGGTTTGTAGAAGGTTTAGGAATTTACAATGATCAAATGAGATGTCTTAAAAACACCTCTTGGGGCAGATACGGTCGTAGCGTAGGTACTTAGTCCTGAACCATGTGGTAGGCACGACATTGTACCCTTTCTCCCACTTTTTGCTCCATACCCAGCCGCTCTGCCATTTACCGCACTTCTCCTCGAGGATCTCCTGCACTTCGTCTATCTCCCATCGAGGGATTTTGTCTCGTGTGAACAACTTGCAGTTGCAGATATACCATGTCACGCCTTGCTTGAAGTCCGGGTACCAGAACGCCTCATAATTTCCGGGCGGCACAATATGATCTGTATGGTTCCCCGCCCATGTAAGCATTGTTTCCTTGGCGCCTAGATAGTCGTGTTCTGAAAGGTTGTGGCCCATGCATTCTATCATTGATACGGGTATGCGGCGAGTGGCGTTGAGCAATTCGTAGGGCCTGCTCTCATCTGCCAGAATTGAGAGAGACCCGGTTGTATTCCATGGGATGGCAGAAGAGATCGCGATGGTGCCGAGTACGCTAAGGACAAGGATCAGGCACATGATGGCGGGTTGTATGATAAATGAAGTGTACGGTAGTTATGGTTATTGTAAGGACGTCGGGAGCACAAGTCAGAGGAGGGAGTTCTGAGATTGATTCGGAAGTATGGAGCAGGGAGGCCTATTATCGCACTTTCGACGAATGAACTGGGGTTCAAATTCCGTATTCAATCGACCATATAATCAGCCCTTATATACTAGCGGGGGCTAATATTTAGGCTCTGCGGAAGGGCACATATTCCGGAGTTTTAAGCTTAAAGGTGTACTCTGGCGTCGCCTCGTGCACATATTCAACGCTACCACCGAGAGTTTAGGGCACACCTTATTGACTTTGTTGGGTAGCCATGGCTACTTATAGTCTATGCGAACGACATCTGGATTCATTAAGGTTATGGGCATGGCCTCCCCAACAACTAGACAGAGCAGATGCAAATAAAGCCGTTTCACTAGGGTCTCATGAATGCCCTAGAAAGAAGTATCACCATTATTATATCTAAGCCGACCTATGAAATACTTATATGGACAAACATATCTGAGCTTTACTACCTCTGACTGAATCTAAATAGTTCCGGCTAGCTAGACTATAAGTGAACCTCTGTCCTGGATTCGAACAGCCTGCTCATCAGAGCCAGATAAGAAGAGATTACTACACTATAATTATCGTGTCACCAATTCAATCTCACAGGGATTAGGAGTCATTTGTGTCACACAAGGGAGCTGTTCACTCTGATGGCCTGTAGGATGACTTCGCTACGTTGTAACACAAGTCCGACACTTCTGCCGAGGCTCGCCGTAACAGCGAGACTCCCTCCGAAAATCATGTACGGGGGCTTATGCGGATAAACGACAACAGCTAAACAAACCATCATCGAAACCGTGTATACTGCCCTACTCACCCATAAGGCCGGCTTTTCAAACAATCCAGACGAGTCGCTTGGCGTTCTAGCAGATGCAAGGGCACTAACGACGTCATGGAAAGGAATCACGGAGGCTCTGAAAGCCGGTCCGAGGTTAGATAAAAAGAATTTACATAGCATTGGTGGCCGATACTTGCTCTCCCAAGCGATTGGTCCTGCTGAGGTTGCTCTACTCGGGAACGCGAAGTGTGGTTTCCTCACCGGTGAATGTTGAGTCAAAAATAGGATTATTTCGTATGCTGCCTACTTACCTGCCGATAAATACGACGTATTTTTATTGAAGGAAAACAATGTGGGTGTAACTAATAAGAGTAAGGGGAGCGAGAAAAGGAGTAGTATATAAGATGGTACCTCCTTGGGAGACATTGGGGTAACGAAGGAACACAT